ACGAGGGAGGGAGATGAGGGTCTCTGGTTTGACAGGCAGAGGGTGCGGAGGAGGAGTGACTTCTAACAACATACTTGAGGCAATGAGCTCCACATCCCTGGGAATGTGCAGATATGATGGCTTATGTCCTGAGGGTTAAAGAGGAAATTCTGCCCCAGGTGAGGTTTGGAGCTGGGGGAACCTTAGTCTGTTCTAAATGAGAGTCCAACCGGCAGCCTACAGGTGGCGGGGGTCCTGCGTTCTCCTCACTTCCTGTAGCATTTAAGAGCCTGTCCCACATCCCCTCTACGTGCGTGTGGCTCACAGGCCCTGACGCGGTGGAGTGGGGTAGGTCTTACTTCAAGTCTGGGATGCGCTCCTTGGCAGCATCGTGGTTCTAAGGGTCTGGACTTGGAGGTGCTGCCCCCTTGTGGAAGGAGTGAGATGTTCCCCTCACTATCTTGTAACCTCCTGAGGGTTCTTGCTGATTTTGCAGATTGAGGATGCTGGGGGGAGGGGGTTCCAACCTGGCATGTTTGTGATCTGCAGATTTGGGCCTGATTGTGGGGACATCCCCAGAGCTGAGGACTATCTGCGGGCAAGAAACGGAACTGGAGCCTCTGTCGGGTCCCCAGGACACAGTAGGGCACGGTGCATGGGGATAACTAGGGCCCTCACCCACCCACATTTTCTCACAGATGTGGGGGATGGGTGGGGTGACCTCAGTGCTCCACAATAAATGAGGTGCCTTCCAGAAAATGTCTGTGCAAGAAAGTGCTGGAAGGTGAGTGAGAGAAAAACTGAAGAAAAGAGAGCCTGTGAGACGTGCTCAATAAATATTGACTGGTTAAATGAATGAAGGAATGAATAATTCTTTGGACTGGTGAGGAGAGGACCCAACATGAATATAAATAAGCTCCGGCAGCTCGTTCTTATTTTTGAGAAACTGGAAGGATGTGTCCAGGCTGCTGGCCAGGGGTCCTGAGATTAGATGGCTGGATGACATAACGGCCGAGCATTCTGCCCCCAGGGGCCCAGTGTGGCTGAGAACAAGGGTGCAGGAAGGAGCAGGGACCCAGGGCACTGGGGGAGAATGCCCAGCCGCCCCATCCTGAGAAGCTGGACTCCCACTCTAGGTCCCTGCAGGGACAGTGTGGGGCAAGAGAGGCCTTGTAGGGTGTCGTTAAAGCAGGGACTTTAGTGTCGCAGGAACAGGCTGAGCGAGGCGTGAGGAGATGGAGTGAACTTGGAATGAACTAATGGAACAGAGAGAGGTAGGAAGGGACAGCCCAGAACAGTTGGCCGCTGGAGACCTGTGTGAGGGTTTGGGGAGGGAGCCAGTGTTCAGGTGGAGCCCTACCTGGGGTATCTGCCCCAGGTCACAGTGAGCCCTCCAGAATGTCACTGCCTGTTGGTGTCTCAGCTAATGGAATGGGGCCCAGGGACTGGAATGGGGTCCTGGGGGTGGGTTCTGGGGAGTCTGAAACTGGGGGTGGGCTGTCCTGGATCTTTGTCATGGGTGACCCTGAGAGAGGGCCTTTGAGGGTCAGAACACAGGGAGTGGCCTAGGGTATTAGTAGGGTCATCATTAGTAGGGTCCAGGAGGTCAGAGCCTTCAGGAGGACTTGAGAGGCTGAGGAACAGGGTCAGGAGGTAAGACCGGCCATGTAGAAGTATTTCTGGAGCAGACGTTAGGCTAGGGCTGAGAGCAATGGGGACTACCCTGAGGGTTTGGGGTCTCAGAACATGGTGTTTGTTGGGCATACAGGTCAGAGATGGGTTCTGGGAGACCTGGGTGGAAAGAGGAAGCCTGGGGAAACAAATCATGCCAGAAGGACAGAGTTTTGCGGGAGGATAGGACTTCGAGGATGGGCTATGGACACTGGAGGATCCTTTAGGGAGCCGTTGTAGGGGAGACCCTTGCGGTGCAGAACATGGACCTTTGTGGTGGATGTGAGGCTTTGGCTCTTGTTGGGGGATTCAGGGTGGGCTCAAGAACTTCAGGGTGTCAGAGAACTTTGGATAATCAGATGGGGGAAACCAACAAGGGGGTGGACTTTTGTTCAGAACCAGGGATGTCTTGGCAAGTGGATTTTGTGGTTATGTTTTGGGGCATTAGAAATAGGGAGCAAATGATGAGAGTGGACCTAATGGTTGGAACACGTGTAGAAAGATTCTGGGGGATGGGTTGAAGAACCTGGTGCATGTTCCTTAGAGAGGCTATGGATGGGTTTGGGGTCCTTCATGGTCATATCAAGGGGGTGAACCGAAGGGCTTAGAGCAGTGCAACTCCTTATCTCCATGCAGACTGTCACCACTGTTCCGAGTACTGTTTTAGTATTTGGGAAAGTACTTGGAAATCAGAATTCATGACAAATGTCAAATCCAATTGAGAAGGTCTAGCTAAGTGGTGCGCTGAGTTGAGAAGCTCCTTCCAGGCTCAGAGGTAGAACATTTCATCCCAAAGCAGTAGAATATACATTCTCCACAAGTGCACATGGGGCATTTTTCAGCATGGACCACATGTTAGATCACAAGATAAGTCTCAATAAATTTAAAGCAATTCAAGTCATACAAGCATCTTCTCTGATTGCAATGGTATGAAACTAATAATCTACAAGAAGAAAACCGAAAAACACACAAACACATGGAGGCTAAATAATACGTTACTGCACGGTGAATGGGTTAGCAATGAGGTCAAGAGAAAAGTCAGCAGATACCTTGGGATGAATGATAATGAAAACACATGACCCCAAATTTATGAGACACAGGGAAAGCAGTTCTAAGAGAGAGACACATAGCAATATAGGCCGACCTCAAAAATAAACAAACCATAAGTACCAAATAACAATCTAATCTTACATCTAAAGTAACTAGAATAATAAAAACAAAGCCCAAAGTGAGTAGAACAAAGGAAATAAGAAAGGTCAGAGAGGAAATAAACAAAAGAAAGTCTAAAAATACAAGAGATCAATGAAACCAAGAGCTACTTCTTTAAAAAAAATAAACAAAATAGGTAAACCTTTAATCGGACTTAATAAGAAAAAAGAGAAAGGACTCAAATAAAATCAGAAATAAAAGAGGAGATGTGACAATCAACACCACAGAAATACAAAGGATTATTAAAAAAAACAAAAGTTTTCCAAGCCTGAATGAAGAAAAAACAGAAAATATGAACAGAGCATAATTGCTAATGAAATAAAATCAGTAATAATAATAATAATAATAATAATAATAATAAAAAACTCCCAACAAACAGAAGTCTTGGACTAGATGGCTTCACAGGTGAACTTTACCAGATATTCAAGAAGAATAGACCCCGATCTTTCTCAAGCTATTCCTAAAAACTGAAGAAGAAGGAAGGCTCCCAAGCTCATTTTATGAGACCAGCATTATTATCCTGATGCCAAAACCAGACAAGGACATTACAAAAACTGAAAATTATAGGCCAGTATCCCTAATGAACACAGACGCCATATCAGCAAAATGAATTCAGCAATACATTAAAAACATCACACACCATGATCAGGTGGGATTTATTCCTGGGATATAAGGTTGGTTCAATATTCACAAATCGATTAACATGATACACCACATAAACCAAATGAAAGATAAATAGTATATGTTTTTATTGATTTTAGAGAGAGAGGAAGGGAGAGGAAGAGAGAGAGAAACATCAATGAGAGAGAAACATCATCGACTGGGTGCCTCCTACACGCCCCCTACTGGGGATGGAGCCCACAGCCGGGGCATGGGCCCTGCCCGGGAATTAAACTGGCAACCTCTTGGCGCATGGGACTGTGCTCAGCCAACTGAGGTACACCGGCCAGGCAAATTTTTTTTTTTTTAATCTATGAAGTGGAGTGCTTAATGCTACTCTTGGACATTCTGGTCAAGTCATGAATGAAAATAAAGGCCACAAAAAGTGGTCAGGAAATTTTTCCCAGCCTAAGGGGCCCACCCTGAAACTCCTACCACAAGATGCAGAAAACTCTCTCTCTCTCTCTCTCTCTCACACACACACACACACACACACACACACACACGTAAAATGAAACAAACATTTTCGCAGAGTCCCACCATTACTTTTCAAATGCCATGAGGTTGCACACCTACATAGTCCCCAATGAACTAATCTCAAAAGAGAAGTCAGAAGTCAAGATAATTTACCACCTTGGCTAGTGTGTCTTGGTTGGTTGGGCGTTGTCCTGTGCACCAAAAGGTTGCTGGTTTGATTCCCGGTCAGGTACATGCCCGGGGTTGCAGGCCCAGTAGGGGGCATGCAGGAGGCAGTGGATTGATGATGTGTCTCTCCCTTCCTCTCTCTCTCTCAAATAAATAAATAAATAAAATCTTTAAAAAAATTTACCAATTATCTTTAGGAAGATCCAAAATAAAAAACTAAAAGTCAAGGTTTTTCTGTGAATTTCCCATTGATGTCTTCCGTTATTACTTCAATACATCAGGAAGACCTTTTCAAGGAGGGTTGTGTTAAAACTCACTTCTTCTTCACTGTGTAACAATATACAAGTTGTGTACAGAATAATTACTGTAATAATTACAACAAATGAAAAGGAGATGATAGAACACGAATATCATTGTTATTAAATCTCTGCTGAATTAGGCAGGGAACAGGTGACGCCGCATTAATTTGAACTCATTAGGCTGATCTGATCGCCTGACCATCATACTGATGTTTCCCGAGCCTCGGAAACCTATCAGCCTCTACCACTTAAGGACCAAGGCCCAGGGAGCTTTCCGGGCCAGGGAGGGGCCCCTCCCCCACGGAAGGACCCCACCCCTAGCCCTGCATTGTGAGGTCTTCCGAAGGGAACAGCAGAAGGGCTGATGTCATAGACCAGCCCCCTCGCCCTGTCTCCGCCTGTGCCCGCCCCCGGCCCAACCTCCACCTTTTCTCCCCACAGCCCTCACCCCAGAGGAAAGTGGCCAGCCTTGCCCACTGGCCCACCCACGCCCCTGCAGCCATGGGTGCAAATCACCTCCACCTCTCTGAGCCCCAGGGGCTCCCAGACCCGGCAGGACTCCCCACTCAATCCTGGTGAACAAGGCCCCACAGCAGGACGCCCCAGCATGGTGGGCGACAGGCTGCCACCAAAGGCCTGCGCGGTGGTCATCGACATGGGCACGGGCACCTGTAAGGTGGGCTTCGCGGGGCAGGCCCGGCCCACCTACACCGTGGCCACCATCGTGGGCTGCCAGCCCAGGAAGCCGGCCACCGAGAGGCAGCTGGTGCTGGAGACTTTCATCGGCGAGGCCGCGCGCGCGCGCCCGGAGCTGATGCTGGTGAAGCCCGTGCTGAGCGGCATCGTGGTGGACTGGCTCGCGGCCGAGTTCATCTGGCGCCACCTGCTGGAGCACGACCTGTGCGTTGCGCCCCAGGACCACCCGCTGCTGTTCTCCGACCAGCCCTTCAGCCCGTCCACCAACCGCGAGAAGCTGGTGGAGGTGGCCTTCGAGTCCATACGCTCGCCCGCCATGTACGTGGCTTCGCAGTCAGTGCTGTCCGTCTACGCGCACGGGCGGGTCAGCGGGCTGGTGGTGGACATGGGCCACGGCGTCACCTCCACCGTGCCCGTCTTCCAGGGCTACCACCTGCCCCATGCCACCGAGCGCCTGGACCTGGCCGGCACCCACCTGACCTCCTTCCTGGCGGACACGCTGCTGGGCGCCGGCTCGCCGCTCGGGCCGCAGGAACTGGACCTGGTGGAGCGCGTCAAGCACCGCTGCTGCTACGTGGCCCCCGACTTCCAGGAGGCGCAGGCGCGCCCCGAGCCCGAGCGCCCCCGGCGCCTCACGCTGCCCGACGGCCGCACCGTCACGCTGGGCAAGGAGCTGTTCCAGTGCCCCGAGCTGCTCTTCAGCCCGCCCGAGATGCCCGGGCTGTCGCCCGTGGGCGTGCCCGCCATGGCCAAGCAGA